TTCCAATTTTTCGATATTTCAAGTTTCACTTGGATTTTGAAATTAAAATCTTTTGTATTTTTGATTATTTAATTTATAGAAATTTTTGTTTATCGTTTTTTCAATTTCTCGATTTTTAATTAATCAGGGTTTTCAGGTTTCTATACTACAATTTTTTGATTTTCCAATTGTTTTTTCAATTATCCACTTGTTTAATTTCCAATTTTTTCATTTTAAAATTTATCGATATTTCAAGTTTCATTTTTCAATTTTTGATTCTCATTTTTTCGTTTTTTTCAATTTTTCTTTATTTTTTCAATTCTTCGACTTCTCAATTTTTAAATTTTTTAATTTTTCAATTTTGTAATTTTTAGACGTTTCAATGTCACAATTTTCTGATTTTTATATTTTAAAATTTTTCAAAATCTCGGTTTGAATAAATTTGTCCTTTTGTTGAAGAATTAAAAAATGAAAAATCGAGAAAATAAAGAACTATAAATTGAGAATTTGAAAAATTTTTGTATTTTTGATTGTTTAATTAATAGAAGTTTTTGTTTTTCGTTTTGTCGATTTTTCAGTTTCTCGATTTTTTAATTAATCAGTGTTTTAAGGTTTCCATATTACAATTTTTCGTTTTTTTTTCAGTTATCCACTTGTTTATTTCTCATTTTTTCATTTTTCAATTTTAAAATTTTTCGATATTTCAAGTTTAATTTTGAATTTTTGATTCTCATTTTTTCGGTTTTTTCAAATTTTCTTTATTTCTTCAATTCTTCGACTTCTCAATTCTTAAATTTTTTGATTTTTCAATTTTGTAATTTTTAGACGTTTCAATGTCACAATTTTCTGATTTTTATATTTTAAAAATTTTCAAAATTTCGGTTTGAATAAATTTGTCCTTTTGTTGAAGAATTAAAAAATGAAAAATTCTGAAAATAAAGAACTAAAAATTGAGAATTTGAACAATTTCATTTTTCAATTTAAATTTTTTGTATTTTTCGATTTTTTAGGGTCTAGATACTTTAATTTTTCGATTCTTCAACTTTTGAATTTTACAATTTGTCGATTTTTATATCTCTAGAAAATTTTGTTTTCCGTATTTTTCTATTTCTCGATTTTTAATTAATCAGTTTTTCGATTTTACAGTTTCTTTTTTTCAATTTTTAAAATTTTCAGTTGTTTTTTCAATTTTCGAAGTTTTCAGTTTCTCAAGTTTTAAGATTACAATTTTTAAATTTCTCGGTGTTTCAAGTTTCGTTTTTTCTATTTTTGATTTTCAATTTTGCAATTGTTCAATTTTTGTTTTTTAAATTTTCAGTTTTTTCATTTTTAAGGTTACAATTTTTCCTTTTCCAATTGTTGACCTTTTAATTATTCGATTTTGAGTTTCTTTATTTTTTTAATTCTTCGATATATCAATTTTTAAATTGTTGGGTTTTTCAGTGTTTCTTTTACGATTTTTTGATTTTTTAAAATTTCAGTTTTAATAAATTTGTCCTTTTGTTGAAAAATTAAAAAACGAAAAATTGAGAACACGAAAAATTAAAAATAAAATAGGTACATCCAAGTAGGTAATTAAAAATTATTTTGTTTCTTCGATTTTGTGATTTCTCAATTCAAGATTTTTATACAGGGTGTCTCAGAAATAAGTACATTAATTTTAATCAGTTATAGAGCTCATTGAACTCAACAACTTTTTTTAGTAGAGTTTTGTCAAGAACTTTTTAATTATCAAGTTAAAAATTGTTAAAGTTATACCCGAATTAAGGTTACCCGCCCATGGATCCTCAGTCACCCATGGACACTAATAATTATTATAATTAATAATTTATGGTCAAAAACAGTTACTAGGATACCTATTTTCCTAATCTTGTCAATGTGACAAACATTTAGAGAGAAATTGAAAATCCTGCTGCCTAATGGCGTACGGAATTTCATCGGCCCCAAATGTGGGTGTTGAACACCTTCCCTCGTGTAACCGACCTCATCAGTTGATGGTATAAGAGATACAAAATTTGCTTGTTCGTTTATTTTTCTATTAACCCACTCACAAAAGTTTTGCCTACGTGGTAAGTTTCAATAACTGAACTTTCTGGTCCTGAAAGGGGTACATTTGTTCTCTGAGTATCCTCCAAATACTACTCTCTGATACATCACACTAGACAGTGATGCGTGCTAGTGCCCGGTCGAGCTTCGACACTCTTCAAAACAGCCTCTTCAATATTAGCAATTCTATTACTACGTAACTTATCCCGATCCTGAGGTGCAGGTTTAAAAGATCCATACTCTCGAAAATGCTGCAACGTTCTTAAAACTGCGCACATTTGGCAGACGATTTGGGAGGTTTTCTTAAAAAATTCGTTGGGCGGGAGTGCCGTTTCCCCGAGCTTCACCGTACGTTAGTTAAAACGATATCGGTGCATTCCAGATTTGAAAACAATGCCATTTCAACACATTTCGTCTATAAATTAGAAATCTGTGCCAAACAAACTTTAAAGAGACAACGTTTAATAAAAACATTGACATAAAAATGATTGTCAGTGTCAAAACGGTTGCTACGGTACCTTCTTCATTGTTGTAGTGTTGCTATTATTTAAGTTATTATTTAAGGTGAACATAGAAGGCTCGTGAATATATGGGTGGGAAAATTCGAAATTCGACTTGAGTTTTCGAAAAAATGCTAGATAAAAAAGTTGTTCCGTTTCACGAGTTCTGTTACTGGTTAAAATTAATGTACTTATTTCTGAGACACCTTGTATATTTCGTTTTGATAATTTTTCGATTTTTCCGTGTTTCGGTTTTACATTTTTCGAATTTCATTATGAAATTGTTGGATTTTTCAGTAAAATTTTTGTATTTTTCGATTTTCCACCTGTTGAATTTTACAATTTTTCTATCTTTTTCTCAGTTGTTCCATTTTTTAATTGCTTTTTTCGTTACCCAATTTTCAGTTTGCCAATTTTTTCAATTTTTCGAGATTCCAAGCTTGGTTTTTCAATTTTTCCATTTTTTTTTTTTCAAATTTACAATTTTGTAATTGTTTCATTTTTAAATTTGCCGATTTTTAATTTTTCAATTGTACAATTCTTGGCTTTTCCATTATCAGATTTTTCAGTTTCTGTATTTTTTCAATTCTTCGATTTCTCAACTTTTAAATATTTCGTTTTTACAATGTTACAATTTTTTAATTTTTCCATGTTTCGTTTTTACAATTTCTTAATTTTTTAGTTTTCCTCTTCTCATTTTAAAATTTTTGGATTTGGAAATATTTTTTTTTTTGTATTTTTGACTGAATTTATAGAAGTTTTTGTTTTTCGTTTCTTCAATTTTTCACTTTCTCGATTTTTAATTAACCAGGGTTTTAAGGCTTCAATGTTTTAATTTTTCCAATTTAATTTCTCATTTTTCGATGTTTCAAGTTTCACTTGGATTTTGAAATTAAAATCTTTTGTATTTTTGATTATTTAATTTATAGAAATTTTTGTTTATCGTTTTTTTAATTTCTCGATTTTTAATTAATCAGGGTTTTCAGTTTTCTATACTACAATTTTTTGATTTTCCAATTGTTTTTTCAATTATCCACTTGTTTAATTTCTAATTTTTCCATTTTAAAACTTATCGATATTTCAAGTTTCATTTTTCAATTTTTGATTCTCATTTTTTCGTTTTTTTCAATTTTTCTTTATTTCTTCAATTCTTCGACTTCTCAATTCTTAAATTTTTTGATTCTTCAATTTTGTAATTTTTAGACGTTTCAATGTCACAATTTTCTGATTTTTATATTTTAAAATTTTTCAAAATTTCGGTTTGAATAAATTTGTCCTTTTGTTGAAGAATTAAAAAATGAAAAATTCAGAAAATAAAGAACTAAAAATTGAGAATTTCAAAATTTTCATCTCGAAAAACTGCAAAATTGTTTTTTCTGTTGATTTTTTCAATTTCTCGATTTTTAATTATTTTGTTTTTTGATGTTTCACTGTTACAATTTTTCGGTTCTTTAGTTTAAATAAATTTGTCTTTTTTTGAACAATTTAAAAATGAAAAATCGAGAGTTTTACAAATAGCAGAATTGTTTGGTTTTGTCAATTTTTAATTCTTGCATTTTTAGATGTTTCAGAATTATAGTTATTCGATTTTTTGATGTTTCAATTTCGGGATTTTTTATTTTTTCGTTATTCCAATTTTTCAGTTACTGATTTTCCAGTTTTATTTTTAATTTTTCCATGTTTTTACAATTTTTCAATTTTTGTTTTCACAATTTGTTCTTTTGCTGAAAAATAAAAACACGAAATCGAAAAATTAAAAAAAATAAAGTTTAAAACTCAAAAAATTGTAAAATCGGAGAACTAACAAAGCAAAAAATGAAACAATTGAAAAATCGTAAAATCGAAAACTGGAGAATCTGTAAAACTAACAAATCGGTGCTCCCACACAATAACAAATATAAAAACAAATCGTATGGTTTTCTTTAGATCTATGATATTGGAAATGAACACTTGAATGCACAGGATGAATAATATTTGAATTTGGCGTCACTTTAAAGTGTTTTGTTGTGATTGGTCGGCCCGTGTGCGGAAATTAATATACGCTAAATAGATACAGACAGACAGACGGAAACGGGAGACTACTTTTTACTTCCCGAGCGTAAGCTAACGGTATTTATATTAGGAGTATCATGTAGATGATTAAATGCTAACCAAAATTTGGCTAATCATCCCCACCAACAATTTGATGACGTCATCTCAATGAATTATATTTAAAAAAACGTTTTTCAAAGTTTTAAATCATACCACCTATGGGATATAGGTATATAGTTAAATAATTTTCACTAGTTTTGGACAAATTAGAATAATGTTATTGTAACAAAAGAGTACTGGCCAGTTATTTATTTAACGCCAATTCAATCACTCAAGCAAGTTTTTACTGCCGATCAGGATTAAATAACTAATCAAAATTCTTGAATACAAAACAGCAGATTCCATATAGTAGCCAGAAATCCTGTCATCTTTTACATTATTTACCTTCCGCACTCCGTGTTTCAACATGCTGACTAACAAGTTCCCAGTTCCCAAACCCATATAATTCAACAGAATCCAGTAACTGCAATTCTTCTCCACCTGTCCAACTTCCTCTTCCACCAAATATACTGACAGACCAGTGTTCCTGAAATCAAATTTCAAACGACGTGAACAACAAATAAAAACCATTTTTACCACAAACTTATAAGCATGATCGTTCTTGTGAGGTCCAATCTCTGCTCCCGTAGAGAAACACTAAAAACGTAATCATTCTTAACAAGCATGTTTAAATTTCGCGCCATTGTACTAAGTATTGTCAAAAACCAATTGGGGAACCGCCCCAACAACGTGACCTTACTTGCAAACAAACATCAAAATCCTGGCAGACGCAACATTGAACTCTAATTCCTGTAATTTCTTCTTCACAATAAGTACATGAAATCTTTGCGAATAGATCTAAAACAAGATTACGAGCGTTAGAGATGCTAATGTCCAACTACCGAATTAATTACGTAGCATCACATACCTGCCATTTTGATCTGCGTAAATAACGTCAGCGAAACTTAGTCAAAGAAACAAGGAGTGGGGGTTGGATCGTCAAGCAGTGTACACGTGCGGAATTTACGAACATTAACCATCAAAATAGTACACTGGAATGTTTTGGCGTAGTATAATTTACATTGCAATTACAACTAGTATGCATTTTTTGTTCAATGAAAGTATAACATCACCCACAGCTTGATCGCGTCCTGTGTCTCTTATCTCGATAATGTCAGCAATGTCAACAAGCCAACAAACAACTAAAGCAGCTAACTTCATTGCAAACGCGTACGCATGCGCATTATGATTGAATGGTACAGAATGGTAATAGCATTGTTTAAGTATATTATAGTTGGACAACCTAATACAAATTTTACTTCACCTAAATAGTGAGTTTTAGGACAAGGAATCCAGGGGGCGTGGGACAAATTTTTCGTCAACGCGCATTTTCACAACAGTGAGCCAACGTATTAGGTTTATTTTACTCTAAATCAGATGGCGCCATCAAACATTAGCAAAGGCAAACACCCTTCACTCTGCTCTTATACGAGGAGTTATCCATAAATCCATAATTAACATTGTTCCGTAAACAGTAATGTATATAAACATATATGTACAAAATATGAAAATATACTTGACATAAAAAATATGAAGCAACGCGTTGTAACGTGATAAGAAAGAATTGAATTTAAATGAATTTGACGCATATTTTTATTTGACTATATCTGAAGACTGACAGAAACTTTCCAAGGGTTTTTAAACTGGTATAATTGTTTAGTTTTACAAGATTAAAGTAAAACAAGATTTTAAGTAAAATTTAGATTCGTGGTGTTACAAAAATATTAACACAAAATGAAAATATATGTTCAAAGTAAATAACAGAATGACATAAACTTTCGGCGTTAACATTACAAATAATTACAAGAGAGAAAAAAACGCATAAAGAACTTAAGAGGCATGTTTGTAATATCGAGTTGTTAAAGGCTGCTTTGAAGACTGTTTGTTTCTATGAAAAACAATTGCTGTTATCGGACATTTTGGTAGATTTTGTTCCAAAAATACGAGATAACGAATTGTTTCTTGAACTAGTTTCCGTAACTTCTAAAATTTAAAAAGGACACCCCGTTCTGCTGTAATAAAATCTAGAATAAGGTCAAAATCACACTAATATTACATCTGATTTTGTTAACCGCATGAATATAATTTACATTAAAATAAGTTACAGACATTATTTGAAATGTTTATTATAGTTCGAAAACAAGATAAAATAAATAAATAAATAAATAAATAAAATGTGCAGTTTATAAACTTCAGAATTTTAGTATAAAAATAATCATGTTTGAAGCTTTATTTTGTCTGTTCCATTTTATTGGGTGTACTTGTACTGGGCCCCTCTCGGGATATAACACCGACGTCAGTGCACCGACCCAAAGTTCTTCAACCGATGGGATGATTTATTACTTCCGTTATGCTGTCCCTACACACGGCGATTTGGTTTTCGGATTCTCGGCTAGATCTGCACAGTTAACTCTTTGCGCACTGCACACTGACATAGAGTATTTTGTTCACGCGAGCATCAAAAATATTACGCCGAAAGCACTTCTTCAAGTGTTATTTTTTTAAGATGTCATATTTGTCAGCGTTTCCAAAATTTTCTTCTTTGCTCAGATCAACTAATTTTTCGTAAACCGCATTTTAAAATTTTTGTTGTTGTATTTTTTACTTTTTAATTTTCTAAGGCATGAAAAAATCCCATATAGGTTTCTATGAATTTATTAACGAAATCAACTGATAACTTGAGCGCCATTTTGTGTTAATTAACACGAATAGCGATTATGATAATTTTATAATTATCAGTTATAATATATTAAGTGCATCGCAATGTTATCGATAATTTTGAGCAACAATAACTCGAATGCTTGTTGCATTGAAAACGCACGAGTGCTTTAGCACGAGTGCATTTTTCTTAGGCAACAAGCATGAGAGATTATTGTTGTTCAAAATTATCGATTTCATTGTGATGCACGCAATATATTCAACAGATTATTGCAAGAACAAACATTTTAAAAATAATTTTATAATGATTTACGAAGTAGTTTGGTGTGCGATACTATGGCGACGCAAGTAAATAAGAACAGCCATTTTGCAAAATTTGTGTGGGTTTAAAAAACCATGTCCAATTTTCGTTTTGGTCGTAACACGCCAAAAGAAATTGATGATTCTATTACAAACATTACGCCGCTAAATACGAAGAACTCACGAAATTCAATCTGGAGGCAATTTGAGAAGTTTTGCGGTGAACGCAAATATGTTTTTGATGGAAACACTTCCACGGAAAAACTAGCATTCATCCTCAAAGATTGGGGGTACAATATGAAAAAAGTCGATGGTAATGACTACAAAGAAGCAGTAATAAAAACGATGTGGAATGTAACGGCAAAGCAGTTGCAAGAACTGTATTTCAATAAATTTGGTATAAAGTTTGATCCTTTTGTTGACCTGGAATTCAAGGGTAGTAGAAATGCACGCGACGCAAAACGCCGGAACCTACAAATACAACCGGAAAAACGCAAAACTAGTTCCTCAATTTTGACTCTAGAAGAATACAACAAGATTCTAAAGATTTATAACGAAGACACGCCAGATGGTTTACAGAAAATGTTTTTTTATGTGGCTGGATTAGAATTAGCTTGGAGGGGATGTGAAGGTGTTAACGTTACTATCAAACATTTTAAGGAAGAAAGTGATAATTGTGGTTTGCCTACGGGGCGAATAGAATACAATTGTATTTTTTCCAAAACAGCTCAAGGAGGTAGCCATAAATTAACAGACAGCAAATGGCTTGCAACAAACACCACAGATCCTAGAATTTGCCCTGTTAGGTAATTAAATACTGTTTCAAATACAAAATAATAATTATTTTATTATTTAAGGCTCTACAAAAAAATGCTGAGCAAGAGAGGTAAACATATAACCACCGATCGTTTATTTTTAACGCCAAATCCTGCATGGAGAGAACCTAGTTCTGTAGGATGGTTCAAAAATTCACCCGTTGGAAGGAATGAAATGGGGAAATGGACAAGAACCGCCGCAGAAGAAATAGGCATCGACATAAAGAAAAAGAAGATTAGTAATCATTCATTACGGTCAACTGCAGTGTCGCAACTTGCAAAAGCGGGAGTCGGTGAAGAACAGCTTATAAAGATTACCGGTCATGCCAATACTTTCTCCATCAAACCATACCTTCAGCTCGATGGAGATCATCATTATCAAATGATTGACAAATTACGCGCCAACTCAACGGCTATGGAAGAGTCTAATAACAAATCCACAAATTGCGCACCGTCTGCTTTGGTACAAATGTCTAAAAATATAGTTACTACTTCACCAAGCACACAAACCCCTGTAAATTACTACAACTGTACCATAATTAATTACAATTCTTAGTTTCATAATTAAATATTTGGTTAGTAACCTCTTGTTTTTTTTTGCAATTAACTGGTACTTGCTTATCTTATAGTTGGCACATCTGGCTAGTGATAATTATCGGTAGTGGTAATTGCACAGTGTGCAATTATCACGTAATTGTATGCTGATTGGTTGAATTTACAAATATTGACGCGTTTGATTGGTCAGTTGACATCATGTGACATGTGAGTGCAATAATCATTTTAATAAAATTGTGTTCTTCACTTCGCGAACGACAGCAAACAATTTAAAATTACCGCTAGTCAAGCACCTGAAAATCCATCTCTACCAAATATGTCTTTCTTGGCACGATTTGTAATCCAAAGTCTCCCTCCACATGCAATTTTTCGTCACCTGAGAACTTGTTTGATCTACAGACCAAAGCACACTCCGGCCAATATCGGCTTTAAGCGATTTATCTATAAACCGATATTCGTTAGAGTTGATGTGATACACATCCACTACGAAGAACTAACCCATTTCGACCATTGGACTTCACAACGAATAAGTGAACAAAGTTCTTGAACATCTTAACGATTTAATACATAATGTTCCCGAATGACAAAATTTACATTTCAAATTGTATTATCAAATTACACTCTCCAAAATTTGTCACGAACAATGAAATGACGCAATTTCCAAATTTTACAATAGTAAAATTGTAGTTTCGCCCCGTTTACGGTTTATGCATCCGTGTCGAGTTTTCACCTTAGACGTCAAGATTTTTGGAAAAAAAAATCAACATTTTCCAATTTATAATGTTATGTATTTAAATTTTAAAAAGTAGAATAGTCCTGATCTTGTGATTTATACCTAAATACGCTATTGGGATTTTTCGGCTTGTCGATTTCTCGATTTTTCTACTTTAAATGTCTCAATTTTTCAATATTTCAATTTTGGACTTTTCCGATTCCTCCATTCCTTAAATTTTCTATTTCTCGATTTTTTTATTTTTCGATTTCTTAATCTTACGATGTTTCAATGATATGATTTCTCAATTTTTGTCCTCTTCAATTTTACGGTTTTTAAATATTTCGATTTTTCAATTTTTCAAATTTTCACGTTTCTAAATTTTCAGTTTGCCGATTTCTAAAGTACTTTTTTTATTTGTCCATTTCTGGATTTCCTAAAGTTTCGATTTTTCACATCTTCAATTCCTCAATTTTTCGATTTTTTAAGATTACGATTTTTCAATTTTGCTTTTTTAGATTTTCGATTTCTCAATTTTCCAATTTTTTAATTTCTCAATTTTTTGAATATTTCTTTCAGTTATGAGATTTTTCAATATTTCAATTTTTCGACTTTTCGATTTTTGAATTGATGAATTTTTTTTGATTTCTCGCTTTTTTCCTTTTTGGATTTTCAATTTATTGTAAACTTTAGATTTTTCAATTCTGGGACTGTTCAATGCTTCGATTTCTCAATTTTTAAACTTTTCGATGTTTTAATATTTCATTTTTTAAAATTCTAGGTTTTTCGATATCTCGAGTTTTCAGTTCTTCTATATTTCAATTTTTCAATTTTCCGATTTTTTGAATTTTAATTTTTGATTTTCCAGTTTTTCTTTTTTAAAATTTTTCGATTATTCAATTTTTTAATTTCTTAATTTATCGAATTCAGATGTTTCGTTGTTTTGATTGTTTAATTTCTCGATTTTTCAATTTTTAACTTTCCTTTTCGGCTTCCGACTCCTCAATTTCTCGATCCTCCGATTTTTCGATTTCTCGAAGTCTCAGTTTTTGAATTTTTCGATGTTTCGATTTTTGGATTTCTCGGTTTTTCGATTTTTTT